GCACACAGACTCCATAAAGTCACAGACAAATCGTTTGTTAAGATAATTAAAAAATCTGATTTTTTGTGTACAAATGTCTTGTAATGTTTACTAAAAGCTTGCTAAATTCCATGGAGATACACATAGAACATTCAGACTTACAGTATGTTGGTTACTTTGATCAACTACATATACTGTTAGTTAAGAAGAGCTATTTTCTTTTGCGATATTTCAGACACTTGTATAAATAATAATCCACTGTGTTTACGGAAAGTACCACATATGGTTAAACACACAAGTGACTAGATAACTAAAGACCAAATTTCAAAAATGATTTCCTTTGAAAATAGTTATTACATACTTACAGGGGTCTGGTGAAACTAATCCCAATTTGAAATGCTATCCCCAATGTTACCCTTTTGTTAAATTTTAATCTTTTGATATAAATCTCTTCCTTGTTTTAATTTACACTCGGAGAATGAAGACATTTAAAGGTCACAAAAGACATAATTCCTTCGTACAAAGTTCCTTACATCGAATGACCTTAGAAAGTTGCCCTGACCATGTAATTTACACTCGGAGAATAAAGACATAATTCCTTCGTACAAAGTTCCTTACATCGAATGACCTAGAAAGTTGCCCTGACCATGTAATTTACACTCGGAGAATAAAGACATAATTCCTTCGTACAAAGTTCCTTACATCAAATGACCTAGAAAGTTGCCCTGACCACACAAATTTCTGAACTACTAATTTGGTATTAACTTGGGACATACCTCTATCTCTCTAAATCATTTGTATTTTCTCTTTCAGCTTTAGAAGTAAACAAAACAGATTTTCACTGCCCTGCCTAATGCTATCTAAATCATTTGTATTTTCTCTTTCAGCTTTAGAAGTAAACAAAATAGATTTTCACTGCCCTGCCTAATGCTAGACTTAAGCTTTCACCAATAAAACATAAAGCTATTTCAAACAAAATTAATATAAAAGTCTGAGAAAAACATCCTATTGGCAGTATTTTTGTTCCCGGTGAATATCATTACGCCATATCAGTATGAACATAGCCAAGAGATATCTAGCCACACTGATACAATAAACAAGTTCAAATCCCTGATTCTCAACCTTGGTTTGGTCCACTTTACAAGTATTGTTATATTAACCACCATACACTCACGCACACACTATTTACATACATACTATCTTGTACAAAAGGTAAGGAAATACGCATTACACTATAAAAAAGGCACAAACAGTGGTATACACCAACATAAAAATATAAGTCATTTTGCCATTCCAGTCATCTACATAAATAGTTAAATTTTAACTTAAAATTGATGTAACCCCCCACTACAGAGTAAATGGTCATTCTTAACCTAGAATTAGTTCTCTACAGAAATATACAACCTCTGACGAAATATCACCCTTTTTTTTTGGTGGTGGTGGTGGGGGGTATCTTACTTATTCTGGAGACATATATAAATTTCTCCATTTTAATATTATATATGATAAATACTCATCACATCAAAGGTTTTCAGAGATTTATCAGTTAAGCAGGTTCCCAGAAGTAAGTAGTTCTTTTCTTTCTTCAACTGCTGTGTAGATACTATTACCTGACTAGCATTAAAGGCTCAGTAAAACCTTCCAAGAGACGACCACCTCCATACGAACCTCCGCAAGTCAATATAAATATTCACAGTATTAGTAAATATATGTATAATTAGACAAGGAATCGGACCCACCAGCCTACCCTTGGTCTGGAACTGTGAACGTCTTTGTTAACCATTAATAGAACGAGTAACCTTGACAAATGTACAGTAACAAGTCTGAAATTTTTGGTTATTAACATTTCCGATCGAGGCAAGTCAAGGGAAAACAAAACAAGTTTTATATCAATATTATTCAGTGAGAAACCTTCTCTTAAAAATTTATATACATAAAAAAATTACCTAAAACAAAAAGACCATTCAAAAATTAACACAAATATTTATTTAAATATGTTACTAATCGCTGGTACTCCAATTTGATCAATTCCGTTTCTTTTTTTTCTTTTATAAACTAGAAAATGTTTTCTATTAAGTTATAACATATTAAAGAATCAAATCCAGTTCCTGTACATTATCTATTAATATAAAATTCTGTGAAGTTGTAATATTTCTCTGGAAGACCTTTGGTAAAAAACAAACCCCAACTCGGAGGAGGAAAGCAACAACAGATATGTTGAGTATGGTGCATTTAGTGATTACTTTCAGAAGAATCTTGTTTTCTTCCTTAATATACTCTCTCTTGGAAGGAATTTGTTCCTTGTTGCCCAACATAACTAACAGACAATGGAGTGAATGGAGCCGCACAAGGAATGGTAGTTCAAAGCAGGTCTTTCACAAGGGAATTGCCCGAAGATAATCAGCCCTGATCCTTAGAGATCTGTATTAAAATCAGCCATGAAGTGCTGCTACGAGTGAGCTTGATCATATTCCATTACAAGGTTTTTTATGTGGGCCAGTTTATTGTGTAAGTATTGAAACCGTCTTTTCACATCCTGGTATCTTTTTTGCTTTTGTTCTTTGTATTCCCTCTTGATATCGAGTGTGGTTCTCTGTAAAACAGTTCTATCAGATGTTACCAGTTACAAAAAACTTATTTAATCAACAAACACAACCAAATTATAACAATAGCTTTTATATGAATCATTCCTAAGATCTAATCGAACTGAAATCACTTTAAGCAGGAATATTTAGAAATGTGTGGCATCCAGTAATATACATTTCGATGTCACTAGCAGATTTTACAGAATACGGATATCAATAAGGATTGTTACTGTAAAATATCAAAACAACTTATCTATCTACAGAGCCAAGGAGATGAAAGACAATATTCAATAATAGCAGTGTAAAAGAACACAAACCTCCCATTCTGCACAGCCTTTTTCGTAACTCCCTAGCCTGTCCTCAAGAATGGCAAACCGTCTAGAAACCTCCAAGATAAGAGAATGCAGCTTTCGGTATTCTCCGTAATCAGCATTAAAGTCTGTTTTGTACCTCATCCTTTGGTCAATGCTTGTGATCTCCACATATTTACTGTAAGGTAAAGTTTTTTAATTTATATATATATATATATATATATATATATACACACACACACACACAAC